AGTTGCTCTGCCTGGAGGTCGCAATCCTGTTCCTTCACTAACAGAAGATCTGATTTAAGGAACAAATAACATATTAAAATGCTATTCTGTAAAATGGGTAAGGAGAAAGTGGAACAGGGTACAGGTAGTCCTCGACTTAGAATCAGTTGGTCAGTGACCATTCCAAGCTGCAGCAGCATGGAATGAATAGTGGTTATGACCAATCTTCAGAGTTCTTGTTATCTTAGCACCAAGGTGGTCACATGATGGTGAGCTAAGTACTTGGGAACTCATTCAATTATTTACCAAGCACATAGCGATGATACGATTGCCATTTCCAAACTTCCACGATGGCTTCCCCAGAAAGTAAATAGGAAATTGGGGATAAGACTCATGGCTCAGTAAAGTGAACATCTAGTTCTAAAACTGATTAGTGCTAGAATTGTGAGCAAATCATGTAAGCTTAACTCTCTGGAACAAGTACTTATGCAGAACAATTTGACAGAAACATTATCATAAAACCATTTATGACATACAGGTAGTCCTCGATTTACAACAATTTGTTTAGTGACCATTCAAAGTTACAACAGCACAGAAAAGAGTGATTTATGACTGTTTTTCACACTTCTGACCATTGTATCATACCCTGATCACCTGATCAAAATTTGGCAACTGACTGATATTTATGATGGTTGCAGTGTCCTGAGTCCTGTGATTGTCTTTTGCAATCTTCTGACAAGCAAAGTCAATGAGGCAGCTAAATTTACTTAATAACTGTGTTAGTAATCTAATAACAGCAATGATTTACTTAACAGTGGCATAAAAGGCCATAAAATGAAACAAAACTCCCATAACCATTATCTTGCTTAGCAACAGAAATTTTGGGCTCAGACAATGGTCGTAAGCCGAGGACTACCTGGAATACAACAAGCCATAAAACATTTCCTGTGCTGAAGTTTGACTGCTCTATATAGTTCAACATGGGCTCTTTTCAAGGCAGATACAAGTTTGAATGTATCCCAGTTTTCTCAGTGAAGGAAGCACATTAGAAATTTTGTCATTGTTGAAAGCACTGAGGAATTTCGTAAGGAAATATCTCTGAAAGGATGAAGCAAATGGTCACAGTTTGTGTAAAAACAAACGTAAGATCCTGAACCAACTAAGTGATCCATGCGTAACTCACACATTTTATTACTTGAAATCAATGCTAGGGAATGAAACCTCCCAATATTCACACTAGACAGAGGATTTTCGACAAAATTTAGAGTAAGGCAAACATGAATGATGAGCTCAAAAACTTTCTTCACTTCCAATTTTAAACTTGCAAAAAGAAAGCAATACGACATTAAAAGCAGCAAGGCTATTAAAAAAATTTTTTTTAAGCAATTGTTACCTACCCAGCTGGATCCACTCTCAACTTTTTGAAAGCTGTTTGCAGGCTCTCTTCATCTCCTTCTTTAGCTTCCGATTCCATCTGCAGGTTGTTAGAATGCTCTTCTGCCTGCCATATAATGAATGCTACCAAGAAAAACATACTGATATTAATTTTATGTATTTTTTTTCCTTCTTGTTCAATTGTGTTGGATTTTTAGAGACTGCCTGGACAACCCTGCAGGTTTTTCAGAAGTGGTTGCCATCACCTCCTCCCACCCTTGACACAAGACCCTTTTTATTAGGTTGGATATAGGCATCAGTGAGGATTGCTGCTCATTTATCTTCCACCCTGTGGCATAGCTGTATTCCTGGCTGTGCTCCTGAATTCTGTGTCTGGGTTGGCAGTAGAGTTCCTCAGGCTTATGCTTCTGGGAGATTTCAGCCTGCCATCTCAGGACTTGAGCACTAAACTAGCACAGGTGTTCATGGCCACCATGGCAGCCTTGGATTATCTCAACTCATTTATGGTCTGACTCATCTGTTATCTGTTATCATCTAGGGGATAACATAATGGATTTGGAGTTTACCTTTGGGAAATGGTGTCATGATCTGGATTTGGGGGATACTAACACCAATACTTGCCTCTTTAGGTCCTTTTCAGCCTAAAGTTCAGTGTAGCTGTCCCATCCTGAAAGAAACTTAGCAACAACACCACATACACACTCAGGTGCCTCATGGACCTTGTCCAGTTTCAGAAGGAGCCTTGGGTTTACCCCAACACTCTGACATTAAGTTTGGCAGGTGTTTGTGTTGCTGTTTGGAACAAGCCTGTGATGGGGATGCTGAGCTGAACTGCACCTATATGGATAAACTGTGCTTCCATTTTTTGTAGAGACCCGTGGTTTACTGAGCAGCTATGGGGATGAAGTGGCACAAGATGTGCCCAGATCACTGCTGGAGGAAGACAAAGAATGAAGTTGACTGAGCACATATAAGAGCTTATATTAGGACCTATCTTATGTGATAGGTCCTAATAAATAAACAAAATTATTTCTCTGTTCTTATTGCATTTATAATAGCCACCCAGCAGCTCTCTTCAAATAACAAGATATGTCCTACGTAAGGAGCTGGTGAGGATTGTAGTATCTCTGTGAGGAATATTTTTGGACTCTATCAGTCACTCAACTTTATGTAGAGTTGAATTCTGGCTAGGCAGATCCTTTGAAAATGATCATGACACATTTGAGACCTGTTATCCAGCAGGAGTTTCAGCTAGTTGATCCTCAGGAAATCAACAAGGTCCTCATGGCTGTAAGTTCGGCCAGCTGTGTTCTGGACACATACTCCTCCAGGTTGGTTATGACCGTGGTGGAATATGGTTGGGTCAAAGAGGTAGTTAATATCTCTTTATGGGAGTGGGACTGCCATCATAAAGGTGGCAATGGTGTATCCCCTTCTAAATACACCATCCTTGAACTCAATACATTACAGAAGTTTTGTCCAATTAGAAACTTCTTTTTGGGGAAAGGTTGAGAAGGAAGTTGGCACTCAGCTTTAGAGGACCTTGGATAAAGCAGATCATCTGGATCATTTTCAATCTAAGTTCATTCTGAGGTACAGTGTGGAGATGGCATTGGACATTTTTGCTGATGATTCAGATTGGTATGGGAATGATGCAACTGTCCTGGCTCTCCTAAATCTCTCGTCAGCTTTTGATACTTTTGGCCAATATCCTAATGGTAATATTTGGAATCAACTGAAACCTCCAATTTCTATTAAAGGAAGCTTCTAAAATAACATTACTCTAATCCAGTCTAAATGGAACTAAAGCAAATTCTATCCAAGAAACATATTTTATTCAAGCTGATAATTAGAACTTTTTAGATTCAGTGCATGATCACAACTACGTGTGTTTCATTTAATAGTCCTCTGTGTGGATACCTTTCAACTAAAATGCACATAGGACGGATACTTCCTAAGATAAGAGTAGTTCTGAATAATAGATTGGAGATTCACAGTAAATTGAAGCGGTCTGTATTTACATCATAGGTGGGACAGAATAAAATTCATCTGATTGAGGCTTTGACAAAGTATAGTGAAATTCACCCATACAAAATAACATCCACATAGCACTTTTGGAACATTCTTTTAAAGGAGTATATCAAAATCAGTATTTAATCTGCTCAACTGATAAGGCTACACAAACTTAACTTTTACTTATATAGTACTTTAGTACTTTCATCCAGAGGTGCACATTCCATTATGTAGTTAAAAATGATATGGTTATAAGAGAAAATCAGTAAGATTTATCAAGTTCTATCATTTCAGTTTAACTCTTCTCTAGCATAATTATTCTAACTTTTTGCAAGAAATTATATCTATTATAAACATATATGCATAGACATTGCATGTGACAATATTATATCAAATATTGGTGAATTATCTTATATAAAACTGTATGGTAAATACACAAATACAATTCACACTTAATTCAGAAATCAAGTGATCAGCCCAAGCAAACTGGAAGAAATGATGGCTGTTACCATTATAGGCATTTTATACCATAATACTACTCCATTTTTGCTGTTTGAAGTAATTTTAAATTATAGTGATATATATGACTAGTAAGTATTATATGATTGCTCTAAGCAATAGAAAAACCTTGTTTTAAAGAATCAAGAAAAAAATCTTATTGAATAACTGGCAAACAAAATTATAACACTTCATAAAGAAAATAATTTGGGGGGTAACACATTCCATGTGGGTTGTGATGCTATATCGTATATGTTCATAGTTTGAAAATGTAATAAATGCATAATTTAAAAAACACTAACATTATACAGTCTAATTATTGCCTGACTTCTAGGATGATTCGGGGGTTAGGAAATTCTTCATGTAGTGACCAAGACTTTTAATGTTGAGTCACTACGGAGGATAAGGGCGAAAACGTGTCTCCTAACAACCCGAAATGTTCGCCTGTAAGGCGCCGTGAAACTTCCGACGCAAGGAAACTCCAGAAGGGAATGTCACCGCGGCTTCGGACGACCCAGAATTCGGGCTACGTATTAAATGAGGAATCCGTCCGCGCACAAACTAGTAGAAATGACGTAGCTGAAGAAGAAGAGGCCCTGCCTTTCACTTTCGCCTCTTCGAAACGTATCTGCCTCGAAGGGGAAGGCGGGAGAGATTAAGACATCACTAAAACAGAAGGCAAATCAATTTATCCAAACGGAAATAATAATAATAATATAAAAAACCCTCTTCATTCTTCTCCCTCAGAATGAACGAATCCTAAGAAAACAAGGGCCAACTTACCTGACAAAGCGCACCCAATCAGCCCAACGAGCCACTGCCGGAAGTGAACATAAAAAAACAACAGGAAGTGACGGTGCAGTGCGCGTGCGTTGAAGGACCACGCGCTCTCTATTGCCGCTGCTCACATTTTTCATCCACTCCAGGTTGGCGCGCGAAACCCTAACAAGAGGACTTAGGAGAACGCATGCGCGCTAAGGACCAAACTTTCTCCATGGGGATTCTGCCTCCGGTGTAGTGCTTCCAGATCCGGGTCATTCGTTTAGTTCCGCTCATATGTTTGAGGGGAGACTTTCTCTGCCCGCCGCTTCCCTTGCGCAGAGCCGCCTGAGCGCTGAACTGACTTGATTCCTCGTCCGCTCATTGTCACCGGAGCAGAGCAGCTGATTCTACCCGTCAAAGCGATGGACTTGTGTTGAATCCCCGCGCTAGGCGCCCCATTCCCGGCTGCTTTACGAAGCATCCCTTTTTGTTTTTTTTCGGCCACCTGGCTTTTCTTTCGGATTCAGGGCTTCGGGTCGCAGGCAGAAACCCCACAGGTGAAGCATTTCTCAACTTCGTTTCTTGGCGGGGCAGGTTTTTTTCTGTGGCAGCAAAAGATTTGTGGCACTTTTTGACCTAACGCATAGATTAATAATCTCGGTCAATGTTTTTCCAACCTTGGCAATTCAGATGTGTGAACCTCGACTCCCAGAATTTCCCAGCCAGCATGTTGGGTCTACCTCTCCTCTTAAAATTACCATGGTTGGAAAACACGACTTGAGTTTTAGTTTGGCCCCATAGACTTGATTTGGTGCAAGTGACCTATGATGTAAAACAAAGAGGAAGGATTTGCTAGAATAAATAAACTCGTCCATAAATGCCAGAGTGCTTAGTTGTTGTTTTGTTGTTGTTACAGTTATTTGTACCTCACTGAATTATGCTATTGCCCTACCTATACACAGGGCATGAACCTATATAGTTTCCTTGCCCCCAATGCTGGAGTCTTTGCTCTTGCTTGCTTCTGGGATTTTTGGTGGTCTCCCAACTTAGCAGCAGCTGTACTTATTTTTTAGACCAGCTAAGTAATGCCACTGGGGGGCGGGGATGAATGCAAGCTGGAACTCATCCAAAATTACAAGATATTCCAACAAAAGGTGAAATTAAAAATAGAGTAGGATATGCTTTTGCTTGATGATGTGTAAGTTTCATTTTTGTCCCAACTACACATTTTAAATTATATCCCATATTTGATAGCAAGAATAAGGAAATGATTTAGACTTTTGTCAAGTCATCCTGTTCTTAGACTTTACATTATTCCAACACAAATGCGCAGCTTTACACACGTCCTTCTGTTAAATTAGAGTGAATGCGTTTCAAGCCCGTCTAGGTTTTTTAATTTTTTTTTCTCTATTTGAAGTATTGTTGCCCCTCCCAGCTTAATGTCATGATAAGCATCCTTCCCCATCCAACTCATTTATAAAAATGGTGAACAGCTCAGGATACATAACAGTTCCCTCCAGTAGTCCTTGTGATATGATACTGTCTTCCATACTGAATTGGAGTATTAACAATCACTCTTTGGGTGCAATTCTGAGTCCATCAAACCAAGGTTTCATCAGCTCAAATTTTGAGCACTTTATTAAGGAGAATGTTATGTCACACTATATGAAGGGCTTTTTTGAGGTCCAAGTACATTGTATCTGCATTCTTCAACCATTGAAGCTGAAATTAAATTTATTGTTACTTTCAAAGATCAGTAAGATTAATATGCTATGAATTGTAGCAGATTGATGTCAACTGCTTTTAAACGTACTGGTAGCATACATAAGTCAAAACACACTGCACAATTGATTATCTTTTATAATAGCTTATCCAAAATACCAAGTTTATAGATCTATGCTAAACTGATAGATTTATGCCAAAGGAACATAAATTATGCTCCTTTAGTCTTCTGAGATCTTGCTCTTCTGAGAAGAGTTTGACCCTTGATGACTACATGGACAGATGCAAATCAATTTGACCTGTTTCCACTAACATTCTAAAGTTCTTTCAAGAACAATTCTATCATCTCTTCTATCTCACATGTCCCCGCCTCCAGTCTACCCTTTCTATTTTTTTCAGCCTTATCCATTTGTTTTGTAGTGGATCATATCCATACCACATGCCCAAAATATTTGTGTGTATGTGTGTTTTAGTGATCATCAGCTCACAAAATAAGTCTTTCTTTTGTGCAGGCTTGGTTAATTAGCCATGCATTCTGTGGTATGCTCAATAACTATATCCAGGTCTCTAATTCTTTCAGTTTCTAGCCTTCAGATCCATCAGGTAAGGATTGATTTTGAGGCTGATAAAGATTCAGGAGACAATTTTGTAAAGTTGACTACTGCTATCACTACTGGGACCAGTTTGGCTTTTCCTTTCAACATCCTCTCCTAGTTCCTCCTAGTATGTGTGCGTGTATAAATTAAATAGAAATAAATTTATATAAATAGTAATATCATTACAATAAATTGGCTTTTAATAGGAAGTAGTTCAATTGGTAAATTGTGTTTTGTAATTTTAACCTTTTCATTTTAACAAGGAATCTGTGATTTTTTCAGGAAATGATCAGTGCAGATGTCTTGCCACTAGGTCATATGACAGTTATCTTACCTTTGGAAAAACATATATCTTTAAATCAGTGGCACAGCCATAGATATACATATGCTCCACAATATGTCAGTATCTTCATGGCTGAACTAGAATAACAATTCTTACATCCAAAGTCCCCTCTCTCCCCCATTACTTGAGATTTATTGATGACATATTTACCATCTGAAACCATGGATAAGAATTTTTCATCAGATTCCATCAAGTCCTCAATAACATCTACATCACCATCAATATAGCTTTACCTATTTGTAGAATGTCTACTTTTCAGTGTCACAATAAAAAAAAAATGGATAAACACAACATTATAGAGGAAATCTACGGATCAGCACACATTTCTTCATCCTACACCACCAAATAAGTTGTCTAACCAAGCTTTATGCTGCAATTGAATTTTGTCCCATTACTCAATTAATGGGAATTGAACCAAGAGACATTCAAGAGACTGAACTACTCACCTAGTGAGATTAATAGCCAGGTTACATAAGCACTACCATATTCAGCAGTTCAGTATTAAAATAATATAAGTCTTCTGGGATTTGCACAAGTATATGTAGCAGGTTTTTATGTATGCAATATAAAAATTAACTTTAAAAAACTTGCCTAGTTTTCAGAAGTCTGGGTTCAACATTCAGTTAACCTTTTTTTAAAAACAAAACAAAACAGGTTGTTTAATGTAGCTTCTGTTAATCATCCATTTGGCAGATGAACATCCCTGGAAGCACTCTTGGTGTATCACTTCCTTTCGTGTTTTCTTTGTTCTTTGATTCAAGAGTTAGTATGTACTTCAAATACATTATGACACATCCATCCCAGATGAGTCACAATGACATGAACAGGCAACTAAGAAACGTGTCAGTTAAACAATTTGAGCAAATGAACATCAACTGAGTGGAGCAGGGAGGGAGTTGTGTCCAAGTGAGCATTTTTCTGGCAGGTTTCTTCTTTTGTACCAGTTTAAGAGCGATAAACACTTAATACTTTAACCTTTATTGTTTAAAAATTTTATTTTGTTAACCTAAATAGTTAAAAATTTTTCAAGGGTTTTGTATATGCAAGTAGTCCTTGGGTTATGGCACTGGGATTAGGATTGCCATTGCTAAGTGATGTGGTTGTAAAGCACAACATCACTTAACTGCATTTCTTAGTGATGGTAAATCTGGTTGCCATAGTAACCACAAGAAGCATTGGTTGTTAAGTGGGAAGAGGTTAGATATGTGGTGGAGCTGTGGGGGAGTCTGAGAGGCTGGGGGAAGTCCTTGGAGGGCCAGTACAAGACGCATGTGAATTGAGGGAGGCCAGGGGAAACATCTAGAAGGGTCAGTGGAGGTTGAGCATGGGCAGAGGGGTGCTGAAGGGAGGAGAAACATGGGAGCAACTTACCAGAGTGACTTGCAACCTTCCCTGCTGGCTTCCCCCTTGATGTTTCCTATGGGAAGCTGGCAGGGAAGGTGCCAATGATAATCACGTGACCATAGCTCCCTGCAACATCAGAATCACAGCTAGGCATCTGAGTGCCAGGACTTATGGTCACTGAGAGGGTGCTGCGACATTTGGAATTTTATCCTACATCTATTTTTTCAGCACTACCATAAATTTGAACGCTTGCTGAATTAATAGATATAAGCTGAGGATTACCTGTATTCTATATTAAATAGTGGACATTATCTAATTGGTCCTTAGATATTGATTTATGCCACATATATTTGATCAGCTGAGGCTTTTGCATAATGTCTTTTAGTAAAAAAAAAAGATGGAGAACAGATTATCTGTCTCATGCAGTCTTCTTTGCTAACAGAACGGCACTGTATCAGTCAGTTTTTGAATACTTTGGCCAATAAACTACAAGGGTAACCAAAGGCCAGTTGTACCCCATGCATACTTATGCCATTCTATGCAAACAAGGATCTTTAAAGACTACCTTACAAGATAATATACTCATCCACATTTCATCAATAGAATAGAATTCTTTATTGGCCAAGGATGGTTGGACACACAAGGTATTTTCTTGGTGCAAATACTCTCAGTATACATAAAAGAAAAGATACATTCGTCAAGAGTCAAGAATCATAAAGTACAACACTTAATGATAGTCACATTTCATCAACTAGGAGATATATGCCCTATACAGGTACATACATACTCCAGATACTGGTTTGGATATAAATATGATTAACTCTCAGGTAGGAAGCATTCATGTGGTATGCTTTATGTGTGTGTTTATGTATATATGTATATTCTATATGTATGTAACAAATTTAGAAACCTCCGTCTCACAGAAGACTTGGTAAGATTTAAATGCAAAGCCTTAGAAACCTCATTCCTCTTTTCCTAACCTTTAGTAGGAATTGGAACTTAGTCCTAGCACATCTGGAAAGTGCCAGCTTGGAGAAACCTAAAATAGTTTAACACTACAACATTCTGTTCAAAATTTCTCTCTCTCTCTCGTGTGTGTGGGGGGGGGGGGGACGGGACTGAAACTTCACTGCAGCACCCCCAAAATTTGTGTGCTACCTGTGCTGGGCTCCCAAGGCATCCCCCAATCCTCTGAGGCATTCCTATGCTCTTTAACAGGGACTCCATTCATATAACAATCCTCACCATCATTTAACGATTGCAGCTGGGATTGTAGTCATTCAGTGAAATGTGACTTTTGCTTAATGACAGCTCTACAACCAAGATTCTGGTCCCAATTGTCAAGGACTACCTGTAAAAATTATTGAGCTACTAATTTACAGTTAGTCAAATTTAGCATGATATTTCCTTCATTATTGATGCCTGGAATTTCATCCCAGTTCATTTTTCTATTTATCTGCAAAGGGGAGAGAGTGCAGTGGATTGTTCTCTTAACAATGTTGGAAAATGAGGAAAATCTCGGGGCAGCTTTCAAAAAACTAAGAGTTGATTCAGAACGGTAAGTAACAGTATAATTAATTAGTAAGAACTCGAGTGTATCTTTGCAGTATAAAATATAAAAGAAGGATCGGATTTGTCACCTGTTACCTTGATCTTGAGAAGTAAAATATATATGATCAGATTATTTTCTATATCTACTACTCACAACTGTACCATTTCTGTTATGCTTTCAAGTATAATATCCTTTTTGTGGGTTTAGAGCACTTAGTAAATTATTCTGATCTATGCTTTCCTTAAAGGTATAAAATACTTTATGTAGTGGCTTTTTCATAGGAATATCCACCCACCCTCCAACTCACTGTTTATCAAAATGAGGCTGTTTTCTATTCCTTGTATTTGAGAAACTGCCTATTTCCTGTGCTGTTGGTCCAGCCAGTTCACTCCGACAGAGATGGCATGCTATAGATTCCTTCAATTAACCAGTGCTATCTATTGGGAGATTTGAAACATGCCTTTTCTATGCCTGTTCTCTTGAATCTCCCCTGGGTGGCGAAGCCCCTGATGGCATTCCAGAAGCCTTAAGTCCTGGCTGTTCCCCCAGGCTTTGGGCTAAGGTAGTTGGAACTGAATATAATACCGTTATATTATACAATATGCTTGCTGCTGTTGTCTAAATCTGTCATTTGTGGTATATTTGTCATATGCTTTTTTATGGTATATTTATAAACAACAACATTTTTATGCGGTGAGGTAGAGTCTGTTGGATCAAGTGGCATCCTCTGAATAAAATGAATACATAAATAAAAATAACAATAGCATTTAGACTTAAATACTGCTTTACAGCCCTCTCTAAGCAGTTTACAGAGGCAGCATATTGCCCTCAACGGTCCTCATTTTACCAATCTCAGAAGGATGGAAGGTGAGTCAACCTTGAGCCTGGTGAGAATCAAACTGCTGAACTGCAGACAGCCGTCACTCAGCAGAGGTAGCCTGCAGTACTGCATTCTAACCACTGCGCCATCAAACTCCTAAATAAAACGAACAGTGGTGTCATTACAGTGTTTTGTGCCTGGCTTCTCTGGCCCTCTCCCTAAAACAGCTATTGTTTTTTCCCACAATCCTTTCTATAAAATGCCAAACAAGCCACCAAGTTTAGTGATCTCAAACATCTGTTTCTTCATCCATTACCTTTTTCTTTTCACAAGTAGATTGCCAATTGGGAAGCTTAAATGGAAATACTCAGTGATATCACTTTTAAATGCAGTATCTCCCAGTATGTTTTCAGATGTAATTCAAGGTGCTGTCTTTAAAGCCTTTTGAGATCTAGGGCCAGTTACTGGTAGGACTGTTTATCCCATCAGATCTGACAGGGTAGGTGGCCTCCCCCCATCCCCGAAATATGAAGGGTCCCACTTGATCTTCTGGAAGTCTGAAGATCTGGCCTTTCCCCAGCTCCTGGGCCAGGATGTTAGATAAGCCAAAATATGTGTGGTTTGATTATTGTATTAGAATTATTTTACTTCTGTTGGAGATTTTTGCATGACTTATAAAGGTTTTATTATGTTTACTAATTTATTATTAGTACAAGTTGACTGAGCTGTGGTGGCGCAGTGGTTAGAATGCAGTATTGCAGGCTAATTCTGCTGAATGCCAGGGGTTGGATTCCCACCGGTTCAAGGTTGACTCAGCAATCCATCCTTCCAAGGTTGGTAATATGAGGACCCAAATTGTTGGGGGCAATATGCTGACTCTGTAAACCTCTTAGAGAGGGCTGTAAAGCACTGTGAAGCAGTATATATAAGTCTAAGTGCTATTGCTATTATTGTTAGCTGTCCAAAGTTCATAAAAGGCAGCATATACATTTTCTAAAATAAATGCAACTTTTCTGTGTAAAATAGGCAGCTACCCTCCAATATCGTTTTTCCAATAAAATTCAGAATAACTCAGAATGCTGTTGGTACAAAGAACAGTACTGAGAAAGCTGGTTGTAAATGTTGTATATATTTGCAATGGCAATTATATTGTGAATTATCCAAAGCATATCGATTGAGGTTAGATTATAAACTTATTTTGACATGTTTTTCTCATGCTTCAGATCCACTGCTTCTCTCCCTGTGAGTGAGGGGCCATCTCCACAAACATTTGTAGAAAGTACAGATGAATCCAAAGTAAAGATGACATTTGGATCTAAAGAATGCTGGCACTGGTAAGTGGAATTGATTTTGACTAATACTTGGGATGAATAAATGCTGAAGTGTTTTGTTAAATATCCTGGCCCACATAACATCTTAGAATAATCAATTTGAAAAAAAAAGGATAAATGAAAGCAGTAAAAGATGCATTACTGTTTTTTTTTTATGAATGTTGCAATTGAGTTATATTCAGTTGCAGTGCATGGCATAACAGGTTCTTTGCTTTCCAGATGAGACAAAAAGAAGAGAAATTGCTATAAACAGAATCTTTCTCTTACAAAACTGAAGCATATTTTCTTACGTCAAACTACTACCATCTTTCTCCAACAATACAGCCTCCACCAGTAGGAAGGCCCAGCATGATTTCTAGGCATAAGGTGAAATTAAGCCCCACCCCCAAAATTTAGGCCTATTTAAATCATGCATTTCTCCACCATTTCTCACATCGTTCGTTACAATTACACAAGGTGAAGAGAAATGGTGGGGAAGGCAAGGGGGGGAGAAAACTTGCCTTTAGGAGCGCCATGCAGGTAGCCTAGGCTAGAATACCCTGATCTACTACCGATAGAACATCGGCCGATAGAAGCTCCCCGAAGGCAGAGTCACCAGCTGCTTCTATTGGCCGGTAGAAGTGGCCTCGGGGCGAGCGCTTGTGTGCACTCCCCTCGCCACAAGGCCATTTCTATCGGCCGATGGAAGCTCCTCAAAGGCAGAGTCACCAGCCGCTTCTATCGGCCTTTGGGGAGCTTCCATCAGCCGATAGAAATGGCCTCATGGTGAGGAAAGAGTGCATTAGTTGTCTTTGAATCTACCAGATTCAAAGGGCAGGAGAGAAAGCACACGCGTATCTGTGTCTGAATAAAAATTGTGAGATTGCAACGGAGGGAATGGGAGAAAAGACCTTAGCGCAAATGTGTTCTTGTTTTGCTTTGCTGCCCATCATCTGATCAATCTCTCCGGGGCAGCTTTTGGCCTAAAATCACCCAGGTCTCCCTCAGCTAAAGGAGAGGGGAGGTCTCCAAAGACCATCCCTGACCTCCGCCATTTGAGAGGTCCAAACTCGTTTCTTCTCAAAGTTAGACCCACAAATTTTTCAAAAGTTCTTCTGAACGCCTCGGAGGTCCGATGAAATCCAGAAATGTCTCATGATTGAACTCAATAAAAAAAAAGGAACCTGTACCTTGTCGCCAAGTCCCTGGTTTTATAGCTTCTGTCTCATCCCGAATTATGCCAAAATAAGGGATTCTGAGGCTGGTGTTGGTTAATGACGGGCGCTCTTTCAGACGCTCAGAGAGAGAGAGAGAGAGAGAGAGAGAGAGAGAGAGAGAGAGAAAAGGAGGCGTCACTGAAGTTCTCAGACTCCCCCCAACTGTTAGCAGTGCCACTCGTAAGCTGTGGCAAGATTGCCTCGGATCATGTGCAGAGTGCCTTCGCCGTTCAACTCTCCCCCCCCACGACTCAAGGTTCATACTAAAATTAGGCCTTTCCAACCAGCCCCTGCAAATATTCGGCCCTCACCAGAGCAATAGAAAGGACGGTTTAGCTTCTCCCCAGCCCTTCTTCACTCCAGCTCCCTACTGCCCTCCTGTGCCATGACGGCGACCCTTTCACACTCACCCTGCTTCCCCGCTGCATTCCCACGAGGACCGCTCCCGCATCTCCTTTTGGGACCCCGCCCGATCTCCCTTTTAAGGGTAGCCAAGCTCTGCTGCCTCCTCTTTCCTCCCCAGAGACCCCCCCCACTCCCCAAACCAGTAGCGGCAGCAGGTAAAGGGAGGTCGGCTGCCCTGGGACTTTGACAGGCTGCTCGGAAAAGGTCTGGCTTGGGGAGGGTGGCGGTGGGAACCCCACAGATGTTGAGACCTTCCCTCACCAGAAGGGCTTGGCTGACCCGGTGCAGGGACAAGGGCTAGCAGGGGTGGTGTTTGTGTGTGTGTGTGTGTGTGTGTGTGTGAGAGAGAGAGAGAGAGAGAGAGAGAGAGAGAGAGAAACTCAGCTTGCTTCCCTAAGAAAAGTTTGCAGACGCTCTCCCACGCACACTCCCCTCGCCACAAAGCCATTTCTATTGGCCGTTGGAAGCGGCTGGTGACTCTGCCTTTTGGGAGCTTCCATTGGCCGATAGAAACGGCCTCGAGGAGAGTGCGTGTGGGCTGCTCCTCTCAGGAGCGCCCTGCAGGCAGCCATACCTCACCCCAAAGCGGCTGGTGACTCTGCCTTTGGGGAGCTTCCATCGGCTGATAGAAACAGGTTCGTGATGAGGTGAGTGCGCGTGGGTGCTCGCCCCGAGGCCGCTTCTACCGGCCGATAGAAGCGGCTGGTGACTCTACCTTTGGTGAGCTTCCAGTGGCGGCCTCATGGAAAGGTGAGTGCACATGGGGCACTCTAGGTGGAGGTCCGTGTGGGGGAAGAAATTAAGTCACCCCCCAAAAGACGTCCTAGCTGTTTTTTCGGGGCTCCAAAAAAAAAAAAAGGCCCGGCCTTATTTTATGAGAAACACGGCACTTCAGCTGCCTAGGGAAGGAAGCTATAGGACCATGTCATGAATTCAAATCCTAGAAATGGAAGGTTGGGGTCAGATATTAATATACAACTAAGCTTGTTGTAATTCAAATATATAATTTTAAAAGTTGGACATACTCTAAGATAGCCAGATTTGATTTGTATTAAAATCAACTTAGTGCAATAATATCTTGAGCCTGGTGTTCATGGAGAAAATGTGGTTGCTACGGATCAACACTGGTTTGATAGCACATTATGAAAGTAGTGTGCATATCCTGTTGAAAATAAACCACAGCAGCTTTACCATAAAAACAACAGCAATGAAAATTAAACAATCAATTCAATCACAATTTAATTTAGAAAAAGCAACAGCTGTTCAAATAAAACGAGGCGATGGAGGATATTCTACACTATAGCCAGAGGATCATTTAGTTGACATCTAGGAAATATTGCAGTTTCATAGTTTGGACAGTTTTTTCATCCGTATGTTGACCATGAGTTGTCCATAAATCAATTTTCTAGTTTTTCTATGGTAGAAAAACTTTCTGAGATATTAAGATTAAATGGTATATGGCATTGGGATAATGCCAGCCCAGCTTCTGTTTTGCTCCTAAAAGAGCCCAGAGCAGTGTTTCCAAACTAGTAAAATGTTGTGGTGATCAGCATTTATAAAGGCTATATGATCTGAATCCCTTACTTTTGTGAAGACATTTTTAGAAATCAACAATATAGCTCCAGACTATATAAATATCAAAGTCATTGAAGAGATGCCAATCTGGTATATTTATAGTAATTAGATACTGCTTCCCTCAAAAGGTAAACATTCCTAGCTTTCTTAAAAATTCTACTTACATTTTTGTGCTAAAAACACTATTTAAAATTAAGCATATATTTTAGACTGTGAAAAATATTTTAAACACTATAAAGATAATGTTTTGTATTATACATTTTCACACTGATGGTATGTTTTTGATTGGACAGTATGGAAGCATTGCAGTATGATTACTAAAATGAATTATTTTCAGTTTTCATACTGTTTTTGTTATATAAAACAGCTAATCATCTGTGATCTTAGTAATTGTTCAATATTTTATTCTTATCAGTTGCAAGAAAAATATTAGTCCAATATCTGAGAATACAACACATTTTTATAAAAATATTTTTTTCCTGTGGATTGCAGAGTGAGTCATAGAATGCCCTGAAGTAATCTGAGATTCTTTTATAAATTGGGCCACTTCTGGAATTTGAAATAAAAGTCCTTTCTGAAGGACTTTTTTAGAAGGAATTTCAGGGTTGGAACTTTGATGACATTTTGCGCACTTGTAAATAGCTATCCTTTTTGCAGAGTGAATTACTTATGTCTTTCTATTTTCATCCTGCAGGTGTTTGAGAAAACCCCTGAGAGGACCAATTCGAACCCAACGTTGCCGGCAATCAAAGTCTCCAGTACTCCATCCTCCTAAATTCATCCACTGCACTAAACAAATGCCTTCCTGTAGCCAATCCATGCAGAAGAACCTAACAGATGCTTTTCAAAGCAACAAAGATTTGGATGTGCCAAAGAAATTTTCTGAAAATGAACTGGGTAGTCATCCTCTAGAATTTGGCAAGAAAGAATCAGTTGTCAAAGATTCTGAGGCATCCATGATTGGAATACCAAAGAATATTTCTGAAAATATTGGTAGTGTTCTTCCCACAGAAATTCTAAAGGTCTCAGATCTTTCCGATTTCCAGTCTGTGTCTGAACAAAATAAAGGGAATTTTTGTGCATGTGTAAAGAATGAATGCCAGTGTAAGCAATGGCAAAACCTGAATGTGTACAAGTTTTCTGACATACAGAACTCCCTCCAGTGTGTATCTGAAAGATCAGCACATGTGCAGAACAATCCACAGCTCACATCAAGAATTTCCTCCAGTTCTCTCAAATCTTGCTCTGAGCAAGCCAGAGCACATGTAGATGATGTGACTATTGAAGACCTTTCAGGTTATATGGAATACTTCCTGCATATCCCTAAGGAAATGTCTCACATGGCGGAAATGATGTATACCTGACCCTAGCCAACAAAGGGCATTGATATCTGCCCTGAATCATGCTCCATCTCAGAAGCAGTTTGCTCTCTGTGCTTATAATAAAACCACTTTGCATTTCAGGCTTCTTGTTTTTAATAGATCAACAATTGAAATAAATTATAAATCGGGACTGCAAACAGCAAGCCTAGGAAATTATGCCATTTTTGTAGGTATGGCCACAATTGGCTGTTTGGATTAACTGGCTAACATTTTTACAGACAGTGAATCATAAAACAATCTAGAGCGAATTCAAGCACTTTCCATCTGAGGCCAAGTACTGCATATTGTTATATGTTCTATTGACTGTATATGTAACTATGTATATGCATTATGTTTGTAATTGCACGCAAGCACACATTTTAAATTACCAAAAGCATAGCATTATTTCAATTTGACTTGTTGCTAATGCACTAGTCTTTTCCTGAAATCTGTTGAATACATTATCTGTAATTGTAGAAGTCAGTAATGTTTTTCTTCTCTGTATTGCTTTAAATACAGCCTAAATTCCATGTTTGTGCACTTTCTAAAGGAAATCCTTCCAAAGCATCAATATTTGGATTTTGTGAATAATGGGGAGATATTAATATTCAACCACATGTGGCCATTAGATGTCAGCTTTGCTCCATATCAGAGTAGCACAATTTTTACTACATTTCATACTTACACAGACTATTCTGTTCATTCTGCTTGCAATTTATATCTCAAATACGACTCTAAAGCCAATTTCTATACTTATTTCTGTGACAATATGTTAGAGACAATATGTTTAACCTATACGAGTTATGTCTGAAAGAAACCAATGTATTTTGGCAAACCTAAGACTAAGAAAACTACTTTCAAGGCACAGTCATATGCATGGAGTTTTGGTTTATTTGTTAACCTACTTCAATTCAGATACGTTTATAACTTAAAATCAGAAATTAATTCAAAGATGAAAGAATCCAGTTCTCCCTTGATATAACATCCTAGTGGAAGCCAACCTTAAAAGCATTATGTCACATAAGTACAGGTAGTCCTCAATTTATGACCATAATTGAGTCCAAAATTTATGTTGCTAAGCGAGACATTTGTTGAGTTTGCCCCATTTTGCAAACTCTTGCAACATTTGTTAAGTAAATCACTGCAGTCGTTAAATTAGTAGCACGGTTAAGTGAATCTGGATTCCTCATTAACTTTGCTGGTCAGAAGGACACAAATGATGATCATATGCAGCTGGAATAAATAAGAGCCAGTTGCCAAGCATCCACATTTTGATCAAGTGACTAGATGGTCACGTAGTCATGTGAAAAACAAGTCATTTTTTTCAGTGCTGTTGTAAATTCAAATAGTCACTAAATGAATGGTTGCAAATTGAGAACTACCTGTAATCTATCCAATTTCTTATACCTAATGTGGCTATGGCTAATGTTTGCATGATGTTTTCTCATAATTCAGTTTATTGTTGTCCAGATGTTTTGGGAATAAAATCCACAGAATTTTCAGTCAGAATACTAGCTAGAGATTCTAGGAATTGTAAATCATGGGGAAGGCAGCCACTACTTTATTTTGAGGTCTCTTGTTTTCTGGTCCAGAATTCCCTATGTTTTATACTGCTAAGTTACTAAGCGAGGATCTAATAACTCCCTAGGAAGATGCTGCTCTTGAGATAAGCATTTATTTGCAATTGTACTGAGTCAGCCATGGTTTATTGCTTCTCTGTTATATGAACATTATTGAGCTGCTTTTTTGTGCGGCTTCAACACTCTAGTTAGGGTTGTACAAAAAAAAAACCACAATTGCAAATCACTGATAATAGGCAATGCTTGAAATGTTTTTTTTTCACAACTCGGACAAACAAAATCTGTGGATGGCAATTCATTGCAAATATAGTATATGAAGTTCTTTGAGCATTTTCTGTATGTGTACTTTGTACTGTGCAAGCAATTACAGGATAGAAACTAATGCGGAATTCTTGGCACTAACTGTTGGAAGTAGCTATACACAGTGTCAGAAGTAACATCTCCACATTTTCCTCTGGTCTTGTATAAGACCACCTGTTTCCTGTACATTCTCAGGAAATAAGCATGTTTTCAGCTTGATAATATGGACGGAGTTCTGTGAGTTGAGTATTCCAGAAATTGATTTCAGCCACTGAAAAATGATTTGCTTTTTTAAGTGAAAAAAGCAATCTTTTGGTTATTAGATAAATTAAGAGTACTTATTAGTTTTCTTTAACAAATTTTGTAGTAAAATTTTGCAATTGAAATAGAAGTTTCTCATTTGGATTCTGCAATTATAAAGATATGTTTACAAGTGAAGGTTTATGAGGTTAGCTTTACAATTAAAATAATATAGCAAATATGGCAAATGCACAGTGGTGCTTAATAATGAAACCCGTCAATATAAATTGATCAAATATCAGCTTTAGCCAACTTTCCACCTGAAGTATTTCTAAGTGAAGGCTGAAATTGATTTATATTCCAAATTGACAATATGTGTCATGTGTGAAATGCTAAACCTAAGCGGAGGAGAATTATGAATTAAAAATAGTGATTTTGTGCTTGGGAACTCAGACTTGTTTCTCCCATATAAGATATTGAACAAATTATTCTCCTTTAGTGTTACCCATTTCTCTTAATGTGAAAGTATTTTTATACTGGCTGTATCCATTAGAAATTTTCTAACATTCATTTTGTGATTACAACTTTGATGCTTTTAAAGTTCAAATATGCCCTAAAGAGTTTGGTATTCCTGCCATAACTGTTTTTTTTAAACTTTCTAAATAATGTTTTTTTTTACAATTTTGTTATTTATAATTGTAATTGTTTAACTTTTTAAAGAATTACAATTGGAATATTTCTTTGTATACTTTATTTAACCTAAGGTCATGTCAATTTAGTTTAATTCCCCCTATTCAAATGGGAAAATCATGTATTTTTACTGAACAAAATCTTTCGTTGAGGAGAAAAATGATTTTGCACAAAGCTTTCTGGTGAACTGTTCACAAAACAAACTTAACCAGGTCATTTCTAGACTCAAGTGTGTTAGGCCATCTCATAAACCAGTTTTTTAGGGTCAGAAAAGAGACCATTTTAACCCCAAAGTATCTTGGCTGAATTGTTAGTAAAAAGTCTCATCTATTGACCATAATGTGTTGTGTGGACTCAGATTCAGTCACTTCATAGCAACTCTTCTGCAAGATAAATTGGACTGAGAGAATTTGGATGACCCAAAGTCACCCCTGAGCCTTATCATTAAGGAAGGAATTAGTTCAACACTTGAATCCTGAGTAAGTATGCCTGTGATTGCAGCTCTAATGGCAGAGGAAGAGATCTTCCATAAAAGCAAGGAGCAGGATTATTTTCTGAGTAGGCAATGCATATTAAACGCTCATACCCGCACGGCGAATGAATCGCGTAGCTTACATTTATATAGCTCGTTGCTGTAGCGAGCAGAATCTGCGGCTAAAGGCAAAAAAGGACTGGCAGTGAGTTATCAAAGCCATTTGCCGATTTGCACCTGGTCGGGCTCCCCTCAGAGCAGAGGTCAGCGGGGAGGAAGCACGCCTTGTGGTCGTGGCGCTTGCCAAGGAAAACCGACTTCCTTCAGCGGCGAAACCGAAGGGTTATCTTAATGGGCAACGCGGGAAGAGCTAGTAACATAGTCACGCTTTCCCCCGGCAATTTCGAAGAAAGCTTGCGTCCCAGCGACTCCACCGACGTCCGAATCTTCCGAAAAGAGCCCGCTGCCTTCCCAACCCGTCCAAATAATGCTCAGCCAAATTCACAAAACCCAGATTTACGAGTTGTTTGTGCCCCTTCCAGCCCTGCCTCCGTTCAGGGATCCATTCATGCTCTCCTTGTTCCCACCCTCGGGCTTAGGAGAAGCCGTTTCTGGCGCAGCCCTCCTGAAAAAACCTTGGGCGCAAGCAGCCGGCCCAGAACCGCGACCCCCTCCTCCACCTCCCCCGCTTCGTCGTTCCCAGAGCTTCCCAGGCTGCTATTTTTAAAAGTACACGCTTGCTTCCTCGGTCCCTCGCCTCCTCCTCCTCGAGGATTATTAATTTTTATTCCGGCCCCGAAGGGGTGGTTCCTCTCTCCTCCGTAAAAGGGTCCTAGAAAGGGGGCTGGGCGAGGGGGGTCTATTTTAGGAGCAGCTCTAGGGAGACGATGGCCTTGTTAGGGCAGCTTTGACCTTTTCCTTGGTAGAGGAGGAGGAGGAGGAGGCGAAAAATAGGAAGAGGCTCTGGAGGAGATTGGGAACCGTGCACAGTCTGTGGGGCAGCAAAACCGGTGGCATCGTCCGGGGCCAGGACCTCGTGGAGGGCATAGGAACCAAGGGAAGGAGGGAAAGCAACGAGGAAACAAACCGTCGGATAAGTACAGCCCGGCAAGAAGATTAAAGAGAGAGCGCTCCTGCAGATCTGCATGGACTCTTAAAAGAAATTGATCGGGGGTGGGTGGGATTTTTGAGGAGACTGCAAGGATGATACAAAAGCCAGTACAGTAACTACTGTAGTGGAGGGAGAAAAAAATTACAACCCTTCTCCGGCCTCTGATCGAGGATGTAAAGTTTAGAACTGTATAGCTGAGGGGGAACTTCAATCCTATTCTTTCCAAGACCGGGGACTAGTTTGTATCTCTAATCAACATCTCCATGCCTTCTCTGGTAATGGTTCTATAGAACCAAGCAACGCAACTTTCTGAGTTCCCTAGCCCGATCCTCCCTCCGCCAACAGGGACTTGGATCCCTCAGCAACTTCCTTTTCTTGGGCTCTTGGAAAATGGTTCAGCTGAACTTGGCTATGCAGCGGTTGAATCAGGCTATGATACTTCCATTAATGGAGCCATAATCTGGCTAAATAGGCAAGAGAGAAAAGGAAGAAAAAGAGGAGCAAAAGAGAAGAGTGGCTTTCTGACTTTGGTTGTGTATCATGAGTGGTGGAAGGTTTGACTTCGATGATGGAGGAGCCTACTGTGGGGGCTGGGAAGGTGGCAAAGCCCACGGGCATGGCATCTGTACTGGCCCCAAAGGTCAGGGTGAATACTCTGGCTCTTGGAACTATGGTTTTGAAGTGGTAGGGGTATACACATGGCCCAGTGGGAATACCTATGAGGGCTACTGGTCTCAAGGAAAGCGACATGGCTTAGGGATTGAAACCAAAGGACGATGGCTTTACAAAGGTGAATGGACCCATGGTTTCAAAGGAAGATATGGTATAAGGCAAAATATCAGCAACGGAGCAAAGTATGAAGGTACCTGGAATAACGGGCTGCAAGATGGATATGGTACAGAGACCTATGCTGATGGAGGTAAGACTGGCTAAGATGTGGTTGGCTGCCAGTTCCTTCCCAGATGGGGCATGCACAATGTACTATGTAGGCTAAGAATCCCAAAGCTGCAATCTTGAGGGGAAATAATTCAGTTCTTATTCCTGAAAAGAGGTGACATGAAGGCCTTGGAATAGAATGTAATATTTAATATCTCCAGATATGTGTCTTATTTATTAAATTGCAGCTGAAGATGTACATAGTTCTCCCTCTGTATATAAACGAGTATGTGTATGTGCAAACTTTGCATTTTATATATACGTCCTATACATGTCTCACACACACATACCTGGCTTTCCCATCACCATTTCTGAATTAATCTGTGTATCTGCATCTTACATGCATTTTACTGCTTAATTATCTGATGTCCACTGCCCAATTACAATTTGATTCCTGATATAACTCCATCACTGATTACCCTTCTTTGCAGTGCAGGATGTGTCAACTTGAAGCTCATAGGATAAGCATTCATTTCATGGTATGGATCAATCTTTGCTGATTGGTTGAACATTCGCCATACAACTCACCAAGTATCTAGAAGTAGGTACCAGCTCTTATCCAGCAGAGGTGGTAAACAAGATGCT